TCCCACATCACAGCCGGATGGTCAGTAAAAAATATATATCACATTACACGTACGGGGAGCACTGGGAGCTACTGTTTTGCATACGGTATTTGTTGGGCCATGAATTCGTTTGGACTCTCGAAATGTTATTTACTGAAGTTGCAAATCCTCAAAATGCCTCAGGCCTGGCGGGCCGAAAGTTTTGTTGTTTATCAACTGGCAAAAGGTAGTCGAAAGTTCTCCTCATTTTTCCATACGAAAATCAAGAATAATGGTCCCATCGGGCATTCCGGACTACGTGTTAGAGTCCTTGTGTTAGAGTGTGTCCTGGGATACACTCCAAAAAGTCTATATGATTTGTATGCAAAGTGCCGGGGCTCATGCCTGGTCGAGTTCAATTTCAGCCGTTTGGGGGGCAGTTTTTCGGGTCACAGTTGTGTGTGTGTGTGTTTGTATTTTGTGTTTGTGTTTGTGTTTTGCCGTACTCGTAGTTGGCCATATTGATAAGTTCTGCCAGCGACCGATTTGATTAGACATGCTGGTCAAAGTTTTGGGCAAAGCCACACACACATAGTACCCACTCTGCGCAAATAGTTTCGGAACGACATTAGCTACCTACTGGCCAGGACATCATATGTTGCATTTGGATGAGTTTATTTGATTTCTTCTGCCATCTCTCCCGAGGTGCATTCAACTGCGAGTGTCGTGCCGCAAATGCAATTTTCTTCCCAGTTCCATAGCTCATAGCACTACTCACTCACTCACTCACTCAGTCACTCACCGTCCTAGAACCATGTGCACATGCATCAAACAAATTCGATAGCCTTGCCATCGCATAATAAGCGTAAACGTTGGCTAACAAGATTCATGCTACGCTTTTGCGCCCTAGAGGCAAACAAGCAATGGCCATCAGTCGACCAGGGGCGCACTCAGGGGCCACCTCATTGCCATCCTGCGATCCTGGGTATCCTGTCAGCCAGCCCACCCATCCTTGCAATCCTGCCAACAAATGACTATGACGCGACCGGTGGCCAGCGAATGTCGCGCGCTTAATGCAACTTTGTTGCCGATGCTGATGCTGATGCTGATGCCGGTGCTGAACCCTGGATACCATCGTACTATCCCAGTACGATGGGTTCTTCTGGTCAGCAGCGATTGAAAAATCCCACTAGGGCGTTTTTAATTGGATTTTAAAATACTTGTCCCATGCAGGAGGAGCCGTGGCAGCATCAGGCATCACAGGCAGAGGAGAGGACCTGGTCCAGCCTGTTTCAGCCTGGCCATAACATGAGCCTGCCCCTCCCGGCGGCAAGCGACAAGGCCAACATATCGACCAAAACCCCATTCACAGTTTTGTGATGCTGGATTGGGTGGTGGGCTGAGGGGCTGAGGGGCCTCAACACGCTCGTTATCCTTGTTTCCTGCTGTAGCTGCTGCTTCTGCTGTTCCGATGTCCCCATGTCCTGCTGCCATTGCTCCTGGCCCTGCTGCTGCTGCTGCTGCTGCTGCTGCTCTTTCTCCTGCCGCTGCTGCTGCTGCGCAATTTGGTTACGTGTTTGACCGGCGGCGATTTTTCATGGCAAGGCATTTTTTCGGTGGGGGTGGGTGGTGGGGTTTGCAGCACTGGGGTTTCCCATACATTAATGGCATTGCAAATTTGTATTGCAAATGTGCAAGTTGTGGCCAAGCATGAGTGCGACGGAACCCCCACTCACTTCTGCCATAAATTTAATCGCATGTGTTTTCCCCCCAAAAAATCTCGTGCAACTCAATTGTCGCAGCATACACTTTTTTGATCTGATCTGGCTAGCAGGTGGAAAAGTATGGCAAAGGTCATGGGATTGCACTCATAAGCGGGATAAAGCGATAGCTGCTGGAATGAAATATACTTACGCTTTAAGAAGTCTCTTTAAGTCACAAGTTTCTTAAAAGAGACGACAACTTTGCTTTACTATAATTTTAATGACGGCTCAACTTTTGCATTAGCATTAGCATATTTGATTAAAAAGTGTCATTAGGCTCGACTCCGTCACAGCTCTCCAGCAGCTGGCTGGCTCATTTCACGCTTCACCGGAAGTTGCACAAGACGCTAAAAACTTGGCGCACTTGCTCACATTTTAATTTCAACTAATTGCCGAGAATCAGGGAATCTTCTCGCTACCTTCTCCTCGTTCTGGCCGTTAAGTAATTAAGGCGTTGCACTTTGTTTGGCTTTGCGAAAATGAACGCGAGAGTGTTGTCCTCTGAATGTCCTGCAACAACCTGTGCTCCAGCACTAATTTTTAAAACTGTTGTCCGTTGACTTGACTTGATTTGTATGTAGATTCAATTTAGCCGCTTCCAGATCAAAGAAAAGTTGTGTCGGATTTGGACTTGGCCATCCTGAGTCACCTCTTTCGCTGACTAATTTGCCTTTAATTAATATAATGAGTCCAAGTTTGACAATTATCTGTGATGTTAAGCGACTGCCTGGAAAGGGTAAATAACCAAATGGTTTCCGAGAAAGTCAACCAAGTCGAACTTCAGTCAAAGACATACAATTAGCTGACTGGCAATAAATCCGCACTGTTTGTTCACGATGCTAATGAATGTCCAACTTTGGGGCAAGGCAAATGAAACTTTTCCATAAATACGAAATGAGATATAGAACTTACGCACTTGCGAACAGCTAAGTGATGTAACAATGGCAACATTTATAAAGCTTTTTCTGATATCTTTCTCGGGGCCCTCTTGTTAGAGGTGTTCGAACATTTTAAGCCCGTACGGCCCCCCGGAAAAAGTTTACTTTTCCCAAAGTTATGCCAAGAAAAATACATTTCACATAAAGCGAAAAAAGCGAAAAAAAAGCCTTCCAAAAATATACAGAAAAAACAAAACAAACACAAAAGAAACAATGAGAAAAAAAGGACACAACAGCTAACAAAATGAAAAAAGGAAAATCAACTTTGATTTAAGTTTACAAAAATGCTTAGCAATTGCCTTGCTTTTTTAACTTTTTGTGTTGTGTTTGTTGTTTTTTGTTTTTTTTTTTCCATTTCGTTGTTCTCTTTCATTTTTGTTTCAGCTGTGTGGATTAACTGGCAACAAAATATTTTATTTTTTATTGCTTAGCAGCGCTGATTTGCACTCTTGTGTCAGGACCAACCCCCTGCCCTCTCCAATTCAGGGTCTCCTTTTGGATGGGATAGGGAAAATTCTGGATTTTGTTGTCACTTCAACACACAAAACATAAAATACACAAGAGTCGCGTCGAGTCGGGCCGAAACAAAAATCCACTTGAATTTTTTACACTTTATTTTTTGTACATTTGCAACAAGGCGAATAAAAAGGAATTTTCCCTTTTTCGCTGTTGCTCTTCGCGCTGTTTGCACGCGAAATTTGTGCTTGTGCTTGTCTGCCTTTCGGCTTGTCAGCTCGCATGTTGCATGGTTTTAGGCGGGATTTGTTTTCCCGCACCCCCAATTTAAACTCCCATCCCCATCCCGCAGCGATTTCCGCCCTCTCAGAATATAGCGTCAACTACAAAGGGGCAGCAGGAGCAACAGCTACAGGCCCAAGCCACAATTTGGACACCCATCCTGTCCGAACTGAGGGTTCGGCACCAAGTCCGGGAATTAGACATTTGGCAGGGTTTTCAGACCGTGGATGCCCATCCCAGAAGGCCTGGCCTTCTGCTGGAGGGTCTTAATTTTGCAGCATTGTTGATGTTTTGCGTTGAGAACAGAAACTGAAACAGAATCAGAAACAACAGTTGAAGAGCCGTAGAGCAAGGGTTAAGCTAGGCCTTAATTAATTCCTTGGCGGCAGGGTACTGAAAGGTACTGAATAATCGAGCACAGACATTCTAGATACATAAGAAATCAGTGGTTTTTAGCTTGTAAAAACAGAGTTTCAATTCAAACGTATTTTAAAAGGCAAAAAAATTGGTTATTTTCTTGCTTTCGTGCCCTTCCCTTTTAAATCTATAAAAATAAATACCAATCAGACAAATCAAAATAATAACATCACTCATTTAAATCGAACCATTATTAAGACAGGCCAAACCGAGCCTTTCATTTAATTTAAATTAAATTTGTATCGAATTGTAACTGATATGCAATCAATTAAAACTCAAATAACTCACATTCATTAAAGTAAAATAGATTTGAATATTTGATTTTATATCAAATTACCCAGGCAAATGCAACAACTAGCCATAAATGTGAGCTGTCTATATACAAACGAAATTTACCTCTCTTAATTTGTTCTCAATTTACAAATGTAAAACAATACTCGAAGCCATCGAGTATAACCGCATTTTTAAATCGTTTCCAAGCACCGGCTTACATGTGGCATAAGCCACGTTTATTCGAGACCCCTGCCGCTTGCAAAATACTTACTTTTTGTGGTTATTACTGTATATTAAATTAGCATAAATGATTTTTAATAATTATGCCATTGAAGCCGGGGCCCTTCGCAAAACCACTCCAGCTGCTCGCGCGCTCTATTGAGAGCCCCTCCCTTCTCACCGAACAGCCGGCACACAAATTACAATATAATGAGCGAGCAAGTGCAGCATTTTTATTATTATAATTTTTTTTTTCATTTTTCGGTTCAGTTTGAATTTTACATTCCATCCAGTATGCGGCGAACGCAGGCCGACTATTATTTTTATATAATGGGCGTTGATGGGCGCCGAATCCGAATCTGAATCTGAATCCGAATCCCATGTCGATGTTGATTTTCATGCAAGAGTGCACGAAGCGATTCTTGCAAAAATGTTTTTTAATTGCACTTAAAATTTTATTTAAATGCCTGGCACACATGCCGAGCCAACGCAGCTGTAGCCACATCTCTCGAATCGGTGTTTATGGAATGTTTGCTGATCTTTAAATTCAATATTCAGTGGCGAACGAGTGCCATGCCAGAAGTCAAGTGGTTTTCACACAGAACAAATAAGTCGCCTTTATAGTATAAGCATAGAGTAAATAATTTCCATACTTTTGCATAATTACTAATCAACGTGTATGTTTCATTTGCAGGCTGCGCTTTCGTCAAATTTGGTTCGCAGCAGGAGGCCCAGTCAGCAATAACCAACCTACACGGAAGTCAAACTATGCCGGTAAGTGGAAGAGTCCCAAAATCACTCTGGGGTTAAACGAATTTGATTGTACTCGTGATGGTTTCCCACGACGCTTTCTGAAAATTAGAAAATTGGGTTCTGGCCACGGCTTTGCTTTGCTTTGCTTTTCCACAGCACATGATGATGGCACTTGTGTGCGAATAATACGAAAATAATGAAATTTCAAACCTGAAGTATGCGTACTCAAGTTGTAGCTGTTGTTGTTGCTGAATCTCATCGTTGAAAAGTACTTAGCAAACTTCATTTAAGCTACAAGTGCCCGTTGGCCCCCGGGGTTGGCACGATTTATAAATAAAATTAGAATTAAATTAAATGCCGTATTATTATTTTTCCTTTTATGCCGCACTTCAATGGCAAATCAAGAAGCTCGTTCTACTCTAATTTTCTAAAAAAGAAAATAAAAAGAGAATGAAAAAAAAGAAAATAAATCAAAATAGCTTTTGGCCTGGGAGAAGAGAAACCCGAATAGAAATACAGCGAAGGCAACGAAGGTTTCCCGCCAAGTGACTTCATTATGCTTGAATTTCGTAAGGAATCACCATATATAGCCAAGACTGCGGCCGGAGAGCTATATACATGTATATATATATATATATATATAGACGAAGCCGTAGCTCTATGACAACGTAGCCCGGGAATTATTTCGTCTTTTTTCTTGGCTTGCCGCTTGCGAAAAATAAATGAAATTTGCATGACACTTGAGTTATTTTGCACGTAAATTGCTTCTTTTGACAAACAAACAAGCAAATACACAAACCAGCTGCTAGGGGTGTGGGTGTGGGTGTGGGTGTTGGAAGTGGTAGTGGTAGTGGTAGTGGCTGAAACGCTGCCATTGTTGTATTTTCGGTGTTTACAGCCAGGCATTCGGTGCAATCCCAAGTCTTCTCCAAGTCCCAGTTCCAGTTTTATCCTCATCCCTTTCTTCACTCTTCACTCTTTTAGCAAACGAATTTTACATTTCGGGTTTTGTGTGTTTGCGGGCTGCTCCGCTCCATCTGCCTCCCTCAAGTCGACAACTCGTTGGCGCATTTAAATTCAAATTCAAATATTGTTGATGAAATTTGTTGCTTAATTTGCAATTTAGATGCGTTTTTAAACAAACGCCGCGGCGCTTCCACAGAAATCATGTGTTTACTTGGGCGGAAGTTGATGATGATGATGATTACTCTCCTTAGAATGTGGCAAAAGTGGGTACCCGAAATCAATGACACTTGCCGCTGGCCAAAAGTTACACATTCTGCGGACTACGGACTTGCCAATTGCCAAACAAATACGCACTGGCGAAAACTTCAAAAATATATAGCCGCAAGTGAGGCAAACACACAAATAAATAGCGACGGTACCCAATTCGAGTCAAAGGCAAGTGCAAACAGAGCGGCTTAAGTCAATTTCAATTTCAAAACGAAACCGTCACATTTTATAGCTGATTGCAGTCGATACACAGCAAAATCAAAGTACAGCCCGAGGCAAATTTAATCGATCGATTGATGGGTGGATGGATGGATGGATGGGAAAAGGGGAGCGGCAAAAAAAAGGGCTGTTCAATTTAAGATGAAATCAGTGTAAATTGCTATTTACCAGAAACATTTCCATAATTTGTGTCTACCATTCAGACTTTTTCGACATCAGCAGGGATATCCATCCGCTGGAGGCCTACAGCCAACTGCACTTTACCTCCAATTACGCCGGAATGCCTCATACTTCATTCCCATTTCTCACCTTTTGCCCCGAGCGTTACACGCTTGAAATGTCTGACCCCCCTGACCTGGCCAAGAACATGGAGGACCAACAACACAGCTGCCATTTTTCACCTGGCCAATTTTTAAGATGAGCAAGACGACGCTGGCAAATTGCTGCCCCGCCCTGCTTTGAAGGAAAAAAAAGTGCTGCAAAGCAAGTTGTACATTTTCCTACTTGCTTTTTTAATTTTAAGAGCAAGTAGCTCTTTTTTTTACCTGCCTGCATTAAGCATTTTAATGTCAGTTTCGCCCCCAAACCCCCCACCCCGACCCACTAACCCTCTACGCGGCTGTAATTGCAATTTGGCATTACGACTGCGGTGCGGAAAAAGGGGAGCGGTAATTAGCGCAAAACGACGCCAGCTGCTGTGTTGTATAAAAATTTTTAGCTACTACGATTTTTCCTCCGCCAGGCACATATATACATTAATTATATGGCCAAGTGCAGTGGTATAGAGTGGAGCGGAGCGGAGTGGAGTGGAATGGAGTGGAGTAGAGGGTTGCCCGAAGGGGCCCCGAATTGATTGCCTACCTGCAGGCGTCAAAGTTGCGCCAGACAAAACCGCAAGTTAATTTTAAGCTTAACAAAGTCCACTTCCCCCATATATACATACGTACGTCTGCTGCCGCCCCCTTTGGCTTTCATGTTGATGTACCACAGAAAGCTTTTAAAAAACGAGATGCAGAGGAAGAACATTTTTTGATTACGCCAAACCTTAAGCAGCTTATGAACGCCCCCGGTCCACGAATGGACCAAGCGCTCATTAAAAAGGAATTTGCAGGGCGCAAAATGGATGGACCAAGGACCAGGAACAGGAACAGGACGAGAATGGTGTTGACCACCTTCTCATCCTCATTTTCATTCGACTTCTCATCCCCCTCACACGTTTGCTCCCTTGTTAATCTCTTGGCACTCAACATGTTATAAGTCGCTTTTAGTGCGGTTGGCAAACGTTTTCTAAATGCAAAAAAATACAAACACACACACACACACACAGTGTGGGGGAAACAGAGCGAAAAAAGTTTACAGTTTACAGTTGTAAACAATAATTTCGTATTCACTCAACACCCAAACACACACACACACGCCGCCATTTGCATAAGCCGCTGATGCGATTTTTTGCTGTCCGTGCTGTGTGGGCACAGCTTAGAAGTGGGCGTGGCCCGAACTCTTGTTAATGAAAGCGCGCGCATGCATTAAAGCTGCCTTTGGTTCTAAATGCTTTTGATTGACGAAGCGCAAAAGCCGCACAACATGCAACGCAACAACAGTCGGTAAAAATGGAGCGAGCATTAAATTTAAAATAAAAACTGTCACCTTCGGTGAAAAGGGCAGCCAAGCCCGTAAATAAATTATTTAAGTTACGAACAGTGTCACTGCGAATGAGGACACACTATACAGTCCCGCACCTTTGACAGTGTCGAAATTTCGTATAAATTAGTCAATTAGCATTTCTATTTTTATTTGTTCAGTTGGGGCGGGGCACCAAAAGCAAACTGGTGGGAGAACCACAAATAGTGGCCAATACCGCGGTTGCAGACCCTTGTCACACCTTGCCAAGGGGAGAAACACATGTTCCCAGCCAGTGAACGCAGTCATCATCATCATCATCAAAGACATTCTTTCTCGCAGCTTGCTGGGTGCGCATTTAAATTTCAAATTAATTTCTCGCCATGTGAAGCAAACAAAAAAGAAAGATTGAAAGAAATAAGAAATCTGCAAGCTGACAACGCTCTCACACACACATACACACATAGCAGAGTGCCAGATAAATACGGGGAAAGTCCGCGCTGTCCCAAAAAATGATATGCGAAGCTCTGCCACCTCCACCTCCCTTCCAACCCATCAAACCTGTTTTCACAGTCATTTCGCAGAACGGGCGCCGTAAAATATGCAAAAGAAGAAACATTTTTGCGCGCAGCTCGTCTCGCAGCTCGCTCCATTTTTTCTTCTCCTACTTTGGCCGACTCCTTGGTCGTTTTGTTTGCGCTGCTCATGGCTGGATTGACGCAACATATGCCATATGCCATATGCCAGTGCCAGTGCCAGCGTCGAATGTTGTGCGACTGCTGCCACTGTTGTTCTTCTCGCTTTTTGTTTTCCTTTCCTCAGTGTGTGTGTATATGTGTTATGTGTGTGTGTGTCTCGCATCAATTATGCTTTTATTTATACAACAATTTTCGTTCTGCTGGCCGTTCAATTTTCGTCAGCAGTCGTCGACGGGCAGAACGAACAAGTCGAATGAGCGCTGCCTTAATGCGACTTGACAAAAATGGCGCCCAACGTGGGACAGTGCTGCGGCTGCTGTGCCGTACAAAAATGGCGCCCAACGGGAGGCAGAGCTGAGGCTGCTGTTTTATATGGAGGGAATGGGGCAGCGGGCGTTTCTTCTTAACGCTTGAGCAACGCCCACACACACGCAAACTCACATCGCACCTTGACGCTTCAAGCTGACGACCAAGAGAGCGTTGCTGTTCTGGCCTGGCTTTCTATTTTAATTCACACGCCATTGTTGCTCAGCGCCTAAAAGAAGACGAGGCGAAGTTGAATTTCTAATGTGCAGCAGCTGCTAACAATGGAAGTGGGGAATCGGTGGCAGGTGGACGGGGTGTATGGGGATTGACGGGGGAAGGGCAGACCTGATTGTGTTTTGGCTGCTTGTTCCTGCTGTTAGTTGTTGTGTGGATGGGTGCGTGTGTTGGTTATACGTGGGTATTGTATTCTTCTTTCTAAAGCATACTTATGTGCGCGTTTAAGCAATTTTTAAATCGCTGTCGTGCCTGTGTGGTAACGGTCGAATAACAAGCGCCGCCACCTTAGAAGTGGCAAAAAAAATGGAGGCGGAATTTTCATGAGATTGTGGGTGTCGGAAACCTTATAAGTGAAAATTTAAGCCACCTAAATTGGGATATTTAAGGTAAAATAGGCAGCAATTTTGGTCAGTGAAGAATACTGACTAGACGAAATATCATATATAATATTGTTTATTATAATTTATGTGACAATAGTGCAATATTGAGAGAATCATCGATCTTAAACTAGATTAACCCGGAGACAAGTTACACATCTAATTTCTAGCAGCTTAAAACTTGTGTGCATTTTTTATACAGACCAACTAGAGACATAAATCATGGTTAGATCGGCAAAGCCTGGTCGACTCATCCACCACTAAATCATGCTTGATGTTTAACATATTAGACACATGCACAGGGTGGCTAACGTCTCTCCTCCCACACCGT